GCCTTACACTGTTCTTTTTCCAAACAAGTCACTATTTCCTGTTGAACCCAAGATATTTGGAAGCACATGCTATGTTCGAGATGTTCGACCATTTGTTACCAAGTTAGATCCCAAGGCATTGAAGTGTGTTTTTCTAGGCTATTCTCGCCTTCAAAAAGGGTATCGATGTTATTCTACTCAACTTGGGAAATATCTTGTGTCAAGTGATGTGGTATTTTCAGAGACTACACCATTCTTTTATGCACCTCCCAGTTCTACAAGCCAAGAGGAGGAAGATGAGTGGTTAGTGTATCAAGTCACCAGTGTTTCGACAGAACAACTAAATTTTGTTTCTCCAACTCCCAATTCTTCTGTGGATCATCACTCACCTGATGTACCTTCCGTGCCTGCCCCATCTGCACTAGCAAGACCACCAATTGTTCAAGTTTACTCTAGGAGACGAGAGACCAATGATTCTTGTCATGCACCAATTTCGTCATCATCTGACCCTCCTCTGTTTGCTCCTCCAGAAAACCTTGATCTCCCTATTGCCCTTCGCAAAGGTACACGTGCCTGCAAATCTACATATTCCATTGCTAATTTTGTTTCCTATGATCGCTTATCCTCTACTTCTAGATCTTTAATTGTTTCTCTAGACTCCGTCTCTGTACCCAAAACAGTGAAGGAGGCTTTGAATCATCCCGGATGGTCTAATGCAATGCTTGATGAAATACATGCCTTAGAGGAGAACTGCACGTGGGATTTGGTGGATTTACCTAAGGGAAAGAAACCAGTGGGATGTAAGTGGGTCTTCACAGTTAAAGTTAATCCAGATGGTTCCATAGCAAGACTTAAGGCTAGACTTGTGGCTAAAGGGTATGCTCAGACATATGGAGTAGATTATTCTGACACATTCTCCCCGGTTGCCAAACTCACTTCTGTTCGCTTGTTCATTTCTCTAGCTGCTTCTGAGAATTGGCCTTTGCATCAGTTGGATATCAAGAATGCGTTTCTACATGGTGATCTTCAAGAGGAAGTGTATATGGAGCAACCACCAGGTTTTGTTGCTCAGGGGGAGTATGAGAAAGTTTGTCATTTGAAGAAGTCTTTGTATGGCTTGAAGCAAAGTCCTCGGGCTTGGTTTGGTAAGTTCAGTGAGGTAGTTCAGGATTTTGGGTTAAAAATGAGCAAATGTGATCACTCTGTCTTCTACCAACAATCAACAACTGGCATTATTCTCCTTGTTGTATATGTTGATGACATTGTCATTACAGGAAGTGATTATGTAGGGATCTCTTCTCTCAAGTCTTTCCTACATACTAGGTTTCGTACAAAGGATTTAGGCCAGTTGAAGTACTTTTTGGGAGTAGAAGTAAATAGAAGCAAGAAGGGAATATTTTTGTCTCAGAGAAAGTATATTCTTGACCTACTTAGAGACACAGGAAAATTAGCAGCCAAACCTTGTAGTACTCCAATGGTTCCTAATGTGAATCTTTTGAAAGATGATGGTGATCCTTTTGATGATCCAGAAAAATACAGAAGGTTAGTTGGGAAGTTAAACTATCTTACTGTGACTCGTCCAGATATTGCTTTTGCGGTAAGTGTTGTTAGCCAGTTCATGTCTATGCCTACAATCAAACATTGGGAAGCTTTGGAACAAATTCTATGTTACTTAAAAGGAGCTCCTGGACTTGGTATACTGTATAGCAATCACAGTCATACTCGTATTGAGTGCTTTGCAGATGCTGACTATGCCGGATCCAAGATTGATAGAAGATCGACAACAGGTTATTGTGTCTTTTTTGGAGGGAACCTAGTTTCATGGAGGAGTAAGAAGCAAAGTGTTGTATCTCGATCTAGTGCTGAATCTGAGTACAGAGCTATGTCACAGTCTACGTGTGAGATTATGTGGATACATAATCTTTTAAAGGAAATTGGCCTAAAGCATCATACACCAGCAAAACTCTGGTGTGATAATCAAGCTGCTCTTCATATTGCCTCAAATCCAGTGTATCATGAAAGAACTAAACATATTGAGGTCGATTGTCAT